TATTTTTATTTATATCCGTCTATGTATTTATTTATTCATTTCATAATTTATTTATTTATTTTTTTTAGGGATGGGTGGTGGGGTTGTAAGGACTCATCAAAGGGAAAACGTCGCGAGTTACTCTCTCTTTGCCGGCCACTCGTTCTGGATCTCTGGCTCGCATGGCCGATCGTGGTCACGGATCGATACCGCATACCGATTGCAGCACAGCTGACTGGTTCTAAAAATAATAATATCGGTATGGAAAGAAATTAATTTTGGTTCATCGTCAGTTACTATATTTAGCCACAGAAACGTGCCCAAGGATATCGTCGTCCTTTCTTACGTATTCCCCGGGCCTGAGTCATGGCATTGTTGAGAGAGTGCAGGAATTACGTGTACGTATATTTCTCGTTCTCGCACTGGGTGGAATTCCTGAATCGACTATGACCTTTATAAATATAAATTGAGCGTTCTACACCTGGTTCGTGGAACTCAAGATCAGATTGAGACATAGTGATTTGCTTCCCTCTGTCTCTGAACGTGTTACAGAGCTTTCTTTGGTTATACAGGTACGTTCGAATACCACTCCTAGTGTATCGGTAGTATTGTTGTTGATATTTTATTTTACGTCTATGGTAAAACTGATGAGCAAGTGTTGAGATTTGCCCTACTTCTTATGTCTTCTCGGCCTGAATCACCGATAATGTTGAGAGTTTTCAGGAATTACGTTTACGATTCTTGTTCTCGTGCTTGATGGCTGGATTTTTGCCATTACATGTTTAACCTTACCATAACGCGAAATTAACCCGTGCTGTGAACTGTCGTGAATGCAACCAAACGTGTGTTCCGCACGCTGAATACACTTTATGTAGTTGCGAGCGCCGTAAAACTCTTACTAAAAAGAGCGCAGCTAAATGTAAAAATCAATAAACAAACATGGGATAGAATATTCACGAAACGACTGTGACAATTATAAATTGATCATTCTGCGCCTGGTTCGTGGAACTCTAAGACAGGTATAGAGACTTACCTCTGTTTAGGAGCTTAACACAGACAGGACCCTCAGTCGTCATCAAGGTAAATTGCTATACTGTACAAAATATTTATCTGTTAAAATCAGTTAATATTTTACGTACAGGTATATGATAAAAGTGATGGGCGAGTGTTGATATTGGCCCTGCTTCTTAACGTCTTTCCCCGACCAGAGTCATCGATTTGTTCAAAGTCTGCAGGAATTATGTTTACTTTTCCTGTGATTGTACTGGATGGGATTCCAAAAATGAATATCAGCTTTATAATTTGAGAATTCTGTGTCCGATCAGTAGAATATAAAAGCAGGATGAAACGTGCTTTTCCCACTGTTTAGCTAGGAACTTTTAATTAACATGGAACCCGCAGCCGCTGTAAAGGTGAATTCCAATATCGTACACATGGTACCAATTGCCTCATAACAGTTGTAATTTTCATAGAGCATGATGTAGAGTATGAACATGCTTTATATAAATACATTGATTATTATTACTGCGTATTATTAGTCTATTAGTAGCATCGTGTTAATAGTTTACATCTATGGTTAATAATGATGCGTGAGTATTTAGATAGAATAGGTCTAATTTTTTTCTCTTATTTATCGATGTACCAGTATGCGCATCTGGCCTTTTCCCTGCTCTAAATTAGCCTTTTCCCTGCTCTAAATTAGCCTTTTCCCTGCTCTAAATTAGCCTTTTCCCTGCTCTAAATTAGCCTGGTCGTGTCGATGTCCTTCTTTTTACTCAAACTGAAAGTAAAGAATAAAAAATTGTACACGAGCAGCTACCAGTTAAGGTAAATATATAATGTCATGTAAAACCGTGTTCCAGTATTTTTAAAAATTCATTACATGAATTTAGTAACTGTAATGAGTTCGATTCTCAAAGTGATAGTGATAGAGACATGGATGCAAAAGTATATTTAAGGCGTCTCAACTATCAACTTACTAGATGAAATGCACACACAGTTCATGTATTGTTTTATGCCAGCGTCATCAAGTTATGGTCTGATTTTTTTCAAACCAAAAGTTTTACGGCACTCGCACCATGATGATGCCATATATACATCTAAGTGCCGTAAATTAGAGGTGTTACAAAAGAGTCACAAGCACAAAGAGAAGGAGGATATAAGGACGATATATACATTTGACAGGAAAGAAAGAGCAAACCACACCTGAGCACCCGTCAACCAACTGTATGGTATGAATATATATAGTTCACTGGTTCAGTATAAAGTTGTTCTGATGCCCAGGTTTGGATTGTGACAAGGACAAGCGGGCTATCCCGAAAAAATGTTATTTTGAGAAAATTGAAGATTTTGGATTCTTATTCAGTATCTTTAAAAGACAAGGGGAGTTTTCTCTATAACCAAACTAGTATACGCACTAATAAAACCAAACTTCTCCTATAGGTAGGGCAATGTCCACTTTTGGTGTAGGTCAAGATTTCTGGAAATCCCCGATATCTGGGTGAGCCTTCTTGTCCTTAAAAGCGACCATATACTAGCTTAGTAGTATGTCAATGTTCTTTTAATCACTTTCTCCACACATATTTTCTTAACACGTCTAAGACATAATATAGTAGTATACTTAAATATA